TGCTTGAGAGACTAAACTTTCATGCAAAACAATCAATCATGCCACCATAAGATGGACTAAAAAAATAAAAGTATAGACCATTCTTCCTCTCTTTTTTTTTTTCTTTTTCCTCTCCTTTTTTCTTTTATCCAGAGAAACATTGAAGCTAGAACAAACAACCAAGCAAACAACCAACGGTAATGAATAGCTAAGGGAGGAAGGTATACCTTGCTTGTTTTTTTTGTTCAAGAGAAGAACAAGAAAAGAAAAGCACCCCAAGAACACCAAACCACTCAAGGGAAAACAACCAGAGAATCCAGAAAAGAAAATGACAGTACTCCCTCCCTTCCTTTGAATTTTGACCAACCCTAAACCCTTCCCCAAGTGGGATTTTTATAGTAGAAGAGCGAGGAGGAAGAATACCTGAACTCACCTCGGGGTGAATCGAAACTTGAAGGCGACGGGCGAGAAACGACAAGAGGCACAGAGGAGCGTGGCGGGTAAAAAGCTGGAGCGCGGCAGGGAGCAGGTGAAGACAGAGGCGTGGCGACAGTGAGGAGCTTTTAGGCAGAGCAGCAAAGAGGAAGGGGCCTCTAGTCGAAGACGCGCTGGCTGGAATGAATTCCACTATAGGGTTCGGTCGCACCAGCTCGCGGGAGAAGAAGGGGATCGGGTTTGGCTAGGGCTTCGCTTGGGAAGCACGGCGAGTTGCGTATGGGTCGCGAATGAGAGAAAGAGAGGGGGCGAGAGGCCGTGCGTGAATTTAGGGGTTAGGGATTTAAGTGAAAAGAATTATTATTTTTTAATTAATATTGAACATCCCTTGATTTGCGTGCTATTTTCTCGCGCATGAAACTACAACAAAGTGGGCATCCTTCCTAGGTAAAATCTACGTTTTGGATGCGACGACACAATCTGTTTCGTCATCCGAGTTCGTTCGGACAATCTCATCGACGATTGGGTAAAAAAAAATGTGTCAAATTTGATTTTCTTCAAATTTCGGGCTCTCGATCGATCGTTTCAAAAAAACTTGTCAAATTTGAAACTGACATTTTGATGGTCAGGTATGAAGAAGGATGTTGTTGAATGTGCATCTTAATGTCTAACATGTTTGATTGTAAAGGCCGAGTATCAGAGACCCAACAGGCTGCTACAATCTTTGCCGATGCCTGAATGAAAATGTGAATATTTTGCTGTGACTTTTATTATTGGATTTCTTTGTTCAAGACGATCATGATAGTATTTGGGTCATTATTGACATATTAACCAAGTCAACTCACTTTTTGCTTATCAGACAAACAAATTCATTGGATAAGCTGCTCAAATTGTGTGTAAAAGAAATTATTAGATTGCATGGTATTTCAAAAGTTATAATTTCTGACAAAGATAAAATATTCACGTCCAAGTTATGGAAAGACATTTAACAACATATGGCTACGTAGTTACATTTCATCACTGTTTACATCCATAAATTGGCAGAAAATCATAGTAAAATTCAAGTATTAGAAGACATGTTAAGGCTTTGTGTTCTTGACTTTGGAGGCAGCTATCACATCCTAATGATCGAGTTTGTTTACAATCACTCTAGTATCAAATTGGCTCCTTATGACACTGTATGACGGAAATTGGAGTACTCCACTCAATTTGGCTGAAGTTGGTGAACGTCAAATGTCAGGTCTCGAGCTTGTTGATAAAACCACATAGAAAATCAACTTAATTAGCTATAGTTTGAAAAATGTTGATGATCGATTGCAGAAATACTATTCCCAAAGCACAAAGCAGTCGAATTTGAAGTTGGAGATTTCATATTTTTAAAAGTTAGGCCAACGAAAGGTACAACTAGAATTGGTTAAGAAAGCAAGCTGAGTCTCAAGTATAATGGTCCTTTTGAAATTATAGAAAATGTCATTCTAGTTGCCTACAGATTAGTGTTACCCACGGAAGTCAGATATTCATGGTGTGTTTCATATTTTAATGCGAAGAAAATGATTTTCAAATTCAGAGCAGAGAATTTCATATGAAGGTATTGAAGTACATAAAAATCTAACATATATTGAAGAGCCTGAAAAGATTTTAGCAACTGATATTAAAAAGCTCATGAACAAACATATTCCTTTTGTGAAGATAAAGTGGAAGCACAAGGCTGAAAAGAAAGCCACTTGGGAAAAAGAAGTCACGCTACAAAAATATCTCTTCTTATTCCAGTAAAATATGAAATTTCGAGGATAAATTTTTTTGTAAAAAGGGGAGACCTGTAACGCCCAAAATTTCTAGAAACTAGGTAAAGTTTAACACATTTGATAACTATTCTAATTTTTTCATCTCTCAGAATTCGATCAAAATAATTTTATTAAATTCTAAGCATGAAATCAATCAATTTCATATAAAGCACTATGCATGAATTGTTAACAGACTGAGAGATATGAAATTCAAAAGTTATATGTTTTTTTAACCTAAATAATCCTTAGTTATATTCCTAATTACACAATTATTGTTCTCAACTGACCTTCAATACTTTCAGTTGTTGTTTTCGGTCAATTAGGGCCTATAGATCTCTGATTTCTTTCCCTCTCTCCCGAATTTCTGCTCCCTCATTCGGTTCCCTCATGCGATAGCTTCCTCGCTTGTTTGTAGGTGATCTCGCGGTCTCCTATGCGATCTGCGTTGTGTCTGATGCTGGGGTGCGGCAGTCGAAAGCCACAGCTCACGATTCAGGATTCTGAGGCAAATTCAAAGGGTACGAACACCTCTTTTATGTCATTTGAGGCTTTCATTTCCTTCCCCACCCTTCCGTTTATATAATTGCCTTGTTTTTGTGTTTTTATCATTTTTGGTAGCCGTTGGAGGTGCCAAAATTGTATCGGAAGCATCCAATTTAAGTTGAAAGCTTTCATATGGGTTTTAGCACGAAATCAACGAGGGGAAGGTGAAGATTAAGGTGTTAGAAACAGTTGGGAAGAAAATTGTTATTTTTGGAAAAACAAATTTATGCCGAAAATCCCTTCTATGGTATGTTTCGAAAAGTAAAGTACATTTTTGAGTTTAATGCATGTTATGAGCCCAAACTTTATGAGTTCCCAGGTTGTCTGTACGAGGCCCACGGTCTCTCTCTACATTTCGTGGTACTGTATCAGGTATCACATATTTGTCCCAATATTGTAGCTGAGAACGCTGCTGGATTTTTTGTGGGAAGCTCCCACGTCACCTATCAAATAGAAAACTATGACTTTTCAATAGATGTAATTCTAATCTTGTTTAACCGGTCTGGCTTAAAGCTAAAAGTTCATCAAACTAAACCATTTAGGTTACCTTACCAATTGGGTAAAGTTGTGAGACCTATAACCAAGTTTTTGTTGTCTTTTAGGCTGTAAGTCTCTTTTATGTGCCTTCTTATACATGTTGGTCTGATCCTAATTAATTTCAGTTGACACACAGCCAACACATCAATTAAATCAAAATTTGAGCTTGCAAAGGATATAAAGCTCCATCCCTTATTAATCTTTGTCCAACTCCGAGATAATAAGCTTATCTACCTAAATCAAATCCACCAGTCAATCCGTATGTATTTTGGATAAAATTTTTCAAGTGAATTTGAAACTCATTGTAACTAATAGTCATTCAATGTTGCTGACCTTTTGTTGGTCATATTTGGCTCTTAATTACAAAACCGTGCCTTGTATTTTTGAACTTTTCAATGAAATTGGTATCCCAACCCTTTGCCAATAATTGAGCAGACATCATTTTCAAAAGAAAGTTTTTGATGCATTGTTAATTTCATATTTTCGCCCCGATCTGATTGGTACACTTAAGTAAGGCAATCCACAATTGCTAATCAGGCTCTCAGAACATTACTGCTCAAAAACGTAATTGTTTTTGGACTAGATCCATTGGTTTACCTGAGATAATGGGATTATAGGTTCTTGGTTCCTTTCACATGACAATTCACTATTTACAAAAACTCACATCCAAGTATAAAGTTGAGTTTAAGCAACCTCCTTAATCAAGTGGGAGAATAATTAACTTTAAGTGCTTGCACTCATAGCAAGTCTCAACCCCAGATTTGAAAAAATCTTGGGCTTGGATCAATGAAAATTTTGTAAAAAATTAAACCTATTTACATGAAGAAAAACTACCCTTCTGTTTCTCATCACAATCAAGGAGTCTCCAAGTGAGGTGAATTTTTTTGAGTGATCATGCATGAAATATCTTTTTTTCCAATTTAACTTTATGGTTTCTCTGTCTTTAGCTGACTGATTTTACCTAAATTTATGCATCACCCAATAGATAGACCCAAAAGTTAATATTATTGTCTTGATACTTTTTTCATAATGAAAAGCATTGGTTTACTGCTGTTATTCACATCGCTTCATCCTATTGAAAAACCGGACTACTACACTTTGTAAAAGCTATTTTTTTGAATTTAGAAACTCATAGAAACCGTGCCACTACACAGTGTAATTTGTTTTAGCTTATCTCTATGTGGTTACATTTAGGAACTTAATTGCTTTAATTTCCTTGCTGTTATATGATTTTTGCATCTGCCTTCTATCAGTATATTTGTATATTCCCTTTAATATTCAACATTATAATTATTGCTCTTATCTCAATTATTTGTGGTAAACTTTATGTATCCCTCTTCATTCATCCTTGATGAGTGCTTAATGTGGCAATTCATCTTTGATGAGTGCTTAATGCGGCATCATTTACAAGCCTTTTTGTACATTTTCTTTGAGCGTACATTTACTCTATTTCTGTTCTTTCCTTTCTATTCCTCTGGTATTAATTCAATGTTTCCCTTGTTGTCTTATATTCTTAGTTGTTCATGCCCAAGCTACATAACTTGTTTTGCACAACCTTATCTTTCATTGCTGCTTCTCCTATTTTTCATTATAAGGCCTAAACTTTCTAGTGTTTAACTAGAAAAATTAAGTGAATTTTAAAATTTTGAAAATTTGGACTTTTTAGATATGTGCTCGTCTTGTTTGAGTGTTTGACATGAATGCTTTCTCTTTTGGATCCAGGTATAAAACTGAGCATGGTGAAAAGCTTGAGCCTATAGAGGAAGTGACAATTGAGGTATAAGAAGATTTCATCTTGTCTGTACATTAGAAAGGAGAAAAATGTCAAAATAGTCCC